TCCCACTCCCCCTGCTTGTGTTCCCTCTCTTGCTGTCTCTCTGTCAGATAAATAAATAAAATCTTTAAAAAAAATTACATTCTGTTTGTTTTTTGTTTTTACTGTTTGCACTAGCTCCATTTCATATGCTCGACATCAATGCTTGGCTAGTGATTAATGCGTTGAACAGTACAAGTCCAGCTTAAAGTCCAGCTCCCCAGCTTACCAGGTAAGTTAACTTGAGCAAATTGTATAAACTTCCAGTGACCCAAATTTCTTTTCTTCTGACTAAAGGTAAACATAGTCACGATGTCATTGAATGTATGTGAACATAAAATACAATCTACAGAAAATTCTTATACTCAAAGGTGTCATCTAATTTTCTAATTGTTATTACTGATAAGGTCCGATTTATACACTATGATTCATTCATGAAGAAATACCGATTTCTGAAACATTCCGTCTTTGATGTTCACTTCATGTGATGGTTAATTCTATATGTCAACTTAGCTAGGCTATGGTGCCCAAGTTGTTTGGTGAAATAGCAGCCTAGTGTTGCTGCGAAAGTGTTTTTTTTAGATACTATTAACATTTAAATAAATTGTCTTTGAGGAAAGCAGATTACCACTGATAGTGTGTGTGTGGGGGGGTGCTCATGCAATCAGTTAGAAGTTGTAAGAGAAAAGACTGAGGGTCTTGGAAGAAGTAACTCTGCCCCCATATTGCCTTAGGGCTTGACTGCAACACGGACTCTTGCAGGTCAGCCCTGCAGATTGCAGACTTGCCCCTGACTGTCGTATCAGGTGTTAAAAGAGACTGTCTTAGGAAATCCAAGATTGTTACCTTACCGTTAAATGAGCTCAGCATTTTTTGGTAAAGATTTGGTCTTCAACATTTCTTTCCACTTTTATTTTCTTCCATTCTTTAATCCTTTGTAAGTTGGCAAGAAAAGCTACCATCCTACGGTGCCAAGGTAGGTTTCTGGTAAAAGGACTATGCTCACAATAAAGTGTTTCATTTACTAAACTCAGAATTTCAACTAATATCCATAATTAGTCCGATGCTGCCATGTCTACAGGTGGTAAAATTCATGGCTTCTGCTCTTAGCATGAACAAAGTATGACAAATGTTCCTGAGTCAGATGTCCATCTCCTCATCATAATTAGGTGCAATACTTCAGCTCTATTTGTATTGCCAAAGGAAGGATTGCACCTGCCAAATTTAAATGGTCGAGGAAGACTTGTTCAAGACTATTGCCAACAGGGAAGAGAAAACAGAACTCAGTCTGAACTCAATCCATTGAAACAAAGGGCAGGAGAGTTTTTTAGTGCTAGGATGAGCTCCTGGAAAACTACTGGAAGATGTTAGGGGACAGGCTGATCAACAGGATGTGTCAAGCATGCTGAGCTATTCTAGAGTTTGCAAATATTTTTGTCTGTGATTATTCCATCTGTGTTTGCTAATTGGTGCTGCTCGGGGAATTAAACTCCTAACTTCTCCCAAAGACTGGAAGAGAGGGACACAATCTTCTTTGATGTTTACATTTCAAAGGGATCATCCCCAGGCCCTTGAGAAAGACATTCTTGGTTTATAAAACTAGCAAGACACAAGTTTTATTTAAATTTTAGTTAACGTACAGTGTAATATTAGTTTCAGGTGTACAATATAGCGATTCAACACTTTCATACAACGCTCAATGCTCATCACAAGTACACTCCTCATTCCCCATCACCAAGTAAGGCCTCCTCCACCTGCCTCCCTGGTATCCATCAGTTTGTTCTGTGTAGTTAAGAGCCTTTAAAAGATTGATATCTCAAAGAGGCAGAGAAAGAATCTGCAGTCGCACGTATTCTACAGAAGTACTCTAAAAAAAAGGGAGGTCAGGGGATTAGAGACTGGCTGACACCTGTCTAAAGTTTAGCCAAGCTGAACAAGTGTAAACCTGCAAGGAAATATAATGAGGATGAGAATCTAAAGGTCAGGTTGGGGAACCATGCTTGCAGCAAAGAATCAGAATTACTCAGAGGGAAAAAGTAGAAAGACATGGCCCAGATGTTGCAAGATTTGGTTATAATAAGACATAATCAAGCCATTAGGCTTGCTCAGGTTGGTGTCAATCACCAGGTAAAGAAACAGTAAATACCCTCACCTCTAAGATAAGAAACAGCGCTGTGCAAAAGCGTGGTCCCAGTAAGATGCTATCCATTCTAGGTGGGGCCACAAATTCCTGAAAATGACAATAACTTTCACTCCACCTGAAAACGAGGTGGCCTGGGGGGGTCTTTGAGGGCCAGGTGGAGTGCATGTTGAACTAAACTGCATCAACAGCTAAGGAAGCTCACAAATCTACCGTGATCCTGTAGTTACGTACTTGCTACACACACACACACACACACACACACATACACACACACAGAGCACTTAAGCAGTTTTCTTTTACCTTCTTTTCTTATAATTGTGGATATCTATGATGAGGTAAGGACTGACCCAGCATGCTTAGCTTTAGAGTTGCTTCTGAAATTTACTTTTATTTTGTTAAACTTAGCTCTTTTTAACACCCAGGGACCTGATCAAACTGAAACAGTTTGCCTGATTTTGAAAAAAAAGGGAGAAAAATGATAGGATTTAGCTGAAAGCAAGGTTGCAGTTTTATTAAGCCAAGAGGTGATAATTATAACATCAGTAGACAACACATTAACACAGAAATACAAATAACCTTGAGGATGAGTAGAAAGGAATAATATTTCCATCTCTAATAATATCTGTGTTTCAGAGATAGCAATAGTCAGGCTTTAAAATTCTCAAATGCTTCACTCCACCTCTGGGGGCTGTCGCCTGGTTGGTGATAAAGGTGGTTTGATTCAGGCAGGGTTGTGGTACTATTTTTGTAAAATGAATTAACTCTTTAGAGTCAAAACAGTCCAAGACTAATTTTATTTGGTCTTTATAAGAAACTAAAATACACAATCTATAGAGCAAAATTTCAAAGAAAGAAACTTTTATGGCACATAATGAATATTGCTATCAATTTAAAGCCTTGACTTCTCTTTCTCTAAATATTACTTTTATTAAGTATCATCTATAGACTATTCCAGGCATTTTTCACAGATCCTGGCTCTCCATCTGTTTTGGTTTATCTTCTATCTGCTGGACAGATGATAGATGTAAAACACCCTATTACCACACTTCTATCAATTACCAACTTATTAAAATTTTCGGTTGTCTCCAACAATGAGGAGTCTTTATATAAATCTGTTATCACACCAATCTCTCTTTCAAATATAGGTTCTGCTCTTCCTTTCTCTTTCTCATGCCAAAATGTAATTTAAAAGGGAGATCTCTCATAATTCTGTGTTTTTACAATGCTTGCTAAGGCATCTCTTAACCTAAAGCCAACAAAATTTTAAAAATTATTTTATTCTGTACAATATGAACAAAATAAAGATGAACATCAAGAGTTAAACAAATTTATTTACCAAAAAAACCAACAATCCTGGGGCGCCCGGGTAGCTCAGTTGTTAAGCGTCTGCCTTCGGCTCAGGTCATGATCCCAGGGTCCTGGGATGCAGCCCTGCATCGGGCTCCCTGCTTGGCGGGGAGTCTCCTTCTCCCTCTCCCACTCCCCCTGCTTGTGTTCCCTCTCTCGCTGTCTCTCTCTCTGTCCAATAAATAAATAAAATCTACAAAAAAACAACAATCCCGAAAAGGATTATTTCAAGGCAAAGTAAAAGTACCACATAACAGAAGATCACCTGCAGAGCATGAATCCTTAAGTGTGATCACCATCTTTCTATTTAGAAATATACAGTAAGTCGTTCACCACAAATTACATAGACATGTTACATGTTACATTCAGCCAGAATTTAAAAGAAGAAATCCTGTCAAAATAATCTCTTTTCCTTAAGATGTAGTGACAGATATAAGTGATCAGACAGTGTAGGACACATAATCTATCTCAAGTTTAGAAAGGCTCTGTTTCTGTCCTGCAAACCATAACACTAAACACCCTGGAAAAATATGACCTTGACTACAAACTTATTGAGGGGCTGAACAACTGGTTCTTGGTTTTTAGTGGATTATGTCAACTGAGCAAGGGGAATACAAGTGCCTTTAGCGATTGCTTCTTGGCTCAGTGATATTGATTACTGCCATCCATAACCTAAATTGATACTTTCCTTCAGAAAAAAATGTCATTGTTACTTCCTTGGGACTCTGGGGACAGGTAATTGCCCAATCTGCTGTTCACCATTTCATCTTTGTCCCCGGTACTTCATTCAAACCACATACATATCATTCTCTTTGCCTTTATGACTATTCCTATTTCCATTATTTACCCTCTTGTAAATTAGAAGCAAAGAACGTAAGGAAATGTTATTCATTAGCTTATTTGAGGTGCTACAATGTCACATTGTACCCTTTGTAAATGATGAATGAGATAATGCAATTGATTTTCAAATATCTGTTCTTAAGACTTATATAAATTATATTTATAATTTTGCTTTTAAGACTCTTCCCCGGGGATTACTGATTCATTGAGTGTGAGTTGGAACCTGGGATTTCTTAGTTTTTACTAGGGCCCTACAACTGGGTATGCTTGGTTAACACCAATTTAAATAATATAATCAATATAATATAATATAATCAAGTTTTTAAATCAGGACACAAACAGAGATAGGATATAAGGTTAACACTTAATGCTTTACTGATTCCTTTCACTGAAGTAGTTTAAATTCTATTTATAATCTATTTATAATCTGTATTTGGGTTATTAGTAAGACAGAACTTTTTAAGGAATGTTTACAAATGAGCACTATATCATCAAAAGTTACAGATTTTTAAAAATCTTTTTTTTATAAGTGATTGCTTGTTTTGTTTTTTGTTTTTACAAGAGTTTACAATAAGATCTAAGATAACACTTCATTCTAGCTGTAGGTGGCAACATGCTATCACAGGGAATCCAGATGTTTAAACCCAAATCACATTAAGGATCACCCTTTCCTCGGGCACAAGGAAGAGCTTACTTTTTTGCTAGATTTCTTAATTCCACCAGTGGCCAGGGGGCCCTTCCACATGACCTTTGCTTTCAGCTCCCCCAGTTTCTTCTCCTCTTTCTCCTCCGCTTCTGCTCTTCTTTCTTTCTGCTTGAATGCCTAATCATGTTCATCTCCTTGGTCTGCTTCTCAGGCTTCCTTAGGGGCTCCTCCTTGCCACCTTTGCATCCGGACATGGTGCCTGCCTTCCCTTCCCCAGAGCCTGCCACCAGAAGCAGAGCCTTTAAAAATCTTAATATCCCATTCAAAGGGTTGGTATTAGTTATGTTCCGATATAAAGTGGGAGCCTCCATCTTAGATATTATCTATCACAGAGTTCTTTAGCAAATGATTTAAAGGCTGTTTCAAAGTTACTAATAAAGTATACACAGAAAAAGACTCCCTTCTGGGTAGAATATTCCTGTTAGCATTTTTGTCTCTAGGGAGTTCAAAACCATGCTAAATAACTCGTTTATATAAGCTCTTAATAGCTCCTACCAAATTTAAGAAATACAGGAGAAAGAGATAATGGATTATCTCTATATAACAGATATGGACAGTTAGTAGGAAACAGTACCCTGGATTGACCACATGCTGTGAGATTGTGCCCAAGTTCCTCCTACAGCAAGAGTCGAGGTGGCTGACTGGGTGCGGAAGATCGTAATCTGTGCTCTTTAGGTTTCACTCAGCTGGAATCATTCTGTCCTGTAGAGGACTGTTCCTCCTCCCTCCTGTCTCCCTTCCTTCCTTTACTTCCTATATTACCTTTTGCTAGCAAGGACCGAAACTAAGAAATGTGTCTCTAAAATCCTCAAAATCTTCAATGGCTACCTATTGCTGACACAATAAAAATTGAACTATTTTTCATTTAATGTTCATGGCATGGCCTCTGCCCATATGTTAAAATCCTTCTCAGCTCTTTCTTTCTTTCTTTTTTTTTAAGATTTTATTTATTTGAGACAGAGAGAATGAGAGACAGAGAGCATGAGAGGGAAGAGGGTCAGAGGGAGAAGCAGACTCCCTGCCGAGCAGGGAGCCCGATGCGGGACTCGATCCAGGGACTCCAGGATCATGACCTGAGCCGAAGGCAGTCGCTTAACCAACTGAGCCACCCAGGCGCCCTCTTCTCAGCTCTTTCTTAACTCAAACTTTATATTTCAATAATACTAAACTACTTGTAGTTCCTAGACATGCCCGACTTCCATACGTTTATGTCCATGTTAATTCTGTCTGGGATCCTTTTCCATTGTTTGTCCTTAGGCATATGTTTGATCATCATTCAAGTGTCATTTCTATTTTAATTTCTAAATCTTCTATCATGCACAGCTCATACATACATATTACCAACTACATTAAATTTAATTTTACATGCAATATCAGCATTTACTTGTATTCATTCCAAAATCAGCTGTAAATGCATCATGATTCTTCATTAAAACAATGCTATAATTGGCAATTAAGGTCTTAGATTCATCACAGAATGCTACAGCTGGACATGACCTTAGATTCGTTTTAACATAGTTTCTTTCCATTGCACACAGTGAGCATAAATACATTGCCTCAGGTTGCTTTGGGAGTAAACCTCAGAGCTAAACTCTTCAAGGACTTCACATGTCTTGAGTCAGTTTTCCTCTAAGAGCCTTGAAGTTTCTAAAATATTAGGAAAACAGAATGATTAAATCTTGATTTAAAATCATCTGTGAGAAAACTCAGTGTAACCTTCTGACCAACAACAGATAAAAGTTAAGATATTCTGCTGTCATTTATGTTTTATCTGATTTTAATGAAAAACTATTAAATGTTTTTTAAAAAACTGTTCTAACATAAGACTTGTTTGTATCTTAAAAAAAAAAAAAAAAAATCCATGGTTGTCCCAGCTGTCAAAAAACAAAACAAAACAGAACAAAAAACCCTCAAATTCAAATGAGGAATATAAGTCAGTGAGGAATATAGGTAAAATCTAATGTCACAATTATATGCATTGTATAATTACCAACTTGGCCAATATACTTGTAAAAAATATATATACAAAAAGTGGAGTCTAAATTCATGTGGCTTAGGGTCTTAATTATCCCATATCCTACAGGAATGAGGATAGGAAGCCTCTAGAGTTCAAGATGTCAAACAAGAAACTTTTACCCCAAGCTGAGTATTTCTGCATATACATTATTAATAAATTTGAAATTCCTTTATACATAATTTGTTAACAAAATCTCTGATGGATCTCATCCTTGTTGGAAGATCTCATTAAACAACAGAATCTGACTCTGATCATCAAATTTGTGATGACATCTTAATACTGTGTTACTATGTTCATTCTATATTACCTTTTATTAAATGTTTCTGTGGGTGTGGTATTAGCATAATCTCTGAGATCTATGTACCCTCATCTTTGTTAGATAACATATATTTATATTTCTGTGGCCCTTTCTTGTAAAGAACTGTGAAAGATCTAATATTTTACCTTATTTCATTGTTTAGTTATCTCATGGTCTGAGGAGGTTCTAAAGACACTTAATATTATCCAAAACATGGGAGAGTATTCCCTATAACTATCTTATTTTATAGATGCTAGCTGGATACAAGAGACTCCCTGGTCAGAGGTGTAGGATTTTATTACTTAGAGCATGGCAGCACCATGAACTCTATGGTTGCATTGGTTTTCCTTACCCCCTGGGTCCCAGAGAAGAATGCAAAGTGGCACGAATGGATGCTGCGCATGCAGATAGTTTGTGTCACAGGTAAGGAAATCCTAAATTCAGGGAACCTAAATTAGCTTTATCCCAGATGGAGACATTATATTCATTATACTGGACAGTAAAGAAATCAGCACTCTGCCCTGGAGGGAGTGACCAACACCCAACAACTTCAAAAGTTATTTACTATAAAAAACGCCTTGAAAAGACGGTTCAAAGCTAATAACCTTCCAAAACAGAAAGTTCTAGGCCCAGATGGCTTCACTAGAAATTATATAACTTAAAGAATGTGTTATACCAATTCTCTATAACCTCATCCAGAGGATAGAAGCAGAGAGAATACTTCCTAACTCATCCTGTGAGACCAGAATTATCCTAATACTGTAATCAGAAAGGATTTTATAAGAAAACTAGAGACCAGTATCTCTCATGAACATAGATAAAAGATCCTCAACAAAATATTAGCAAATAGAATCCAACAATATGTAAGAAGACTTGTATACCAAAAAACAGTAGAATTTATCTCAGGCATGAATGTCTGGGTCAACATTTGAAAATCAATTAAGGTAATCCATCACATGAATAGGCTAAATAAATAAAGATCATGTGATCATATCAGTAGATGCAGAAAAAGCATTAAACAATATCCAACACCTATTCATGATAAAAATTCTCAGTAAACTAGGATTAAAGGGCAACTCCCTCAGCTTGACAATGAATATCAACAAAAAGCCTACAGCTAACATCATACTTAATGGTGATAAACTCAAAACTCTATCCTACCAATATCAGGTGCAAGGCAAAAAAAGTTACCTCCCACCACCCCTTTTCAACATTGTACTAGGAGTTTTAGTTAATGGAACAAGACAAGAAAAGGAAATAAAAGATATACATACATGGAAGGAATGCATAGAACTGCCTTTGATCAGGATGCCTGGGTGGCTCAGTCAGATAAGTATCTGCCTTTGGCTCAGGTCATGATCCCGAGATCCTGGGATGAGTCCCTCATCGGGCTCCTTGCTCAGTGGGGAGCCTGCTTCTCCCTCTGCCTGCCGCTTCCCCTGCTTGTGCTCTCCCTCTGACAAAAAACAAAAAACAAAAACAAAAAAACCTGTCTTTGGTCACATATGACAATCGTCTATGTAGAAAACACAAAAGTATCAACAAATAATCTGGAACTAAAAAACAATTATAGCAAAGTTAAAGGATACAAAATGAATACATATAAGTCAACCACTTTTCTATAGTATATGCAGTAATGAACAAGTGGAATTTGAAATTTCAAACGTTCCCATTATATTAGCATCCCAAAATTAAATACTCAGGTATAAATCTAACAAAATATGTACAAGATCTATATTAACAAAACTATAAAACTCTAATGAATGAAATCAAAATGCTAAATAAATGGATAAATAGTCCATGTCATGGATAGGAATACTCAATATCATCAAGATGTCAGGTCTTCCTAACTTGCTATAGAGTCAGTGCAATCCTAATCTAACTCCCAGAAAGTTATTTGTGGATAGCAGCAAACCAATTCTAAAGTTTAAACGAAGAGGCAAAGATCCAAAATAGGCAACATAATACTGAAGGAGAAGAGCAAAATTGAAGGGCTGATACTACCCCAACTTTAAGATTTAATATAGGCTATCATAATCAAGAAAGTGTGGTATTAGCAAAAGAACAAATTAATAGATCAATGAAACAGAATGGAGAGCCCAGAAACAGACCTACTAAATATAATCAACTGATCTTTGACAAAGGAATAAAGGCAAAATAAAGATAGTCTCTTCAAGAATGGTGCTGGAACAACTGGACATCCACATATTTAAAAATATAGAGATATATCTAGGTATAAAACTTATACCCTTCACAAAAATATCAAAATGAATTACAGACTGGGGCACCTGGGTGGCTTAGTCAGTTGAGCGTCTGATTCTGGATTTTGGCTCAGGTCATGATCTCAGGGTCATGATCCAGGGTCTTGAGATGGAGCCCTGTATCAGGCTCTGCTCTCAGTGGGAAGTCTGCTTGGGATCTCCCTCTCCCTCCCTGCCCTCACTCTCTCAAGTAAATAAATAAATCCTTAAAAGTGAATTATAGACATAAATGTAAAATATAAAACTATAAAAGTCCTGAAAGATAGCATACGTGAAAATCTAGATGACCTTGAGTATGGTGCTGACATTTTTGACACAAGGCATGATTCATGAAAGAAATAATTGATAAGGTGGACTTCATTAAAATTAAAAACTTCTGTGAAAGACCATGCCAAGAGAATGAGAAGACAAGCCACAAACTGGGAAAAGATATTTTAAAAGACATATCAGATTGACTGTCATCAAAACATTAACAAAGAACACTTAAAACTTCACAATAAGAAAACAAACAATGGGACAAAGACCTTCACAGACACCTCACAAAAGAAGATCTACAGATGGCAAGTAAGCATATGAAAAGATGCTCTGCATGATATGTCATCAAAGAAATGCAAATGA